ATTCGGCGAGTCGCATGAAGGGTGCGCTGCATCCTGCTAAGGGTGTTCGGCATCTTGTGCTTACTTCCTTGCGTACGGATGACAGCTACATATGACTTGAATATATTTTCTGGTGGTTTCACTTCCAGAGACAGTTGTAAGCACTGTGTAACTGCCTCGAGGGTGCTTGACCATTTTAACACAACGTGGTGCGATCATCCCCCTTGCGCGGAGTGAGGGTTCTCCACCCCGCACAACATGATCTACTCGACCACCATTATGGTTACCGCCAAAAAAAAAACNGGGGGGGGGGGGGGGGGGGGGGGGGGGGGGGGGGGGGGGGGGGGGGGGGGGGTAGGGGGCTGAGGATGCCCATAGTCATGCATGCTGGAAAGCCTTTGGGCCAAACGGTGGCGGAGTGGGGGGTTGGCTCTCGATGTTTGTTTGATTTGGCTCGAATCTCTTATTTGCTCCCTCCCTTACACGCTGGTGGTCTAACGTCTCCCTCCGCACCTTGAGAAGAAAAACAAAACAAATCAAAACAGAGGTAAATGCACCACCAGGGGGGGGGGGCGGGGGGGGGCGTCCACTTATGTTTTGCATGTCTTAGCGGTTAGACCATTGACCACGCGTCCTCGAGAGGACGGAGCATTGNGCGACGAAAACCCAACCCCGATGGCAAACACGGGGGGGGGGGGCGCGTGGACATGGGAAGGAGAAAAATAACGGCGGGAGCACAAACGGTGCCAGAGGCACCACCGTCGGAAAGGCAGAGGAGGGCCGTCTGACCTGCTCTAAACCTACAAGTTATTCGTCCACGGCTTTGAGGAAGCAGTAGTGTCGGCGACAAAGTCGCAACAACGCTGGTTGTCGCTTGACGAGTACGCCCGGGCGGTGATTCGAGAAAACAAACCTGGTTACATACTAGGCAAAAAAAATAAAAGGAGCTAACAACAACAACAACAACGAACGACAACGCCTACGACGACCGGCAACTCGACACCATCAAAGCTCAAGTGAATCCAACGAACAACTACGACTACGCCAAGTCGCTACTGCTATCACAAAGCTCAACGAACATACCTCTAGGCAGTAGTCTCTCGCAACGTCGGTGACGGGCAGCAGCCGCATCTGCTCCGGTGCCAGCCACAACGGGAAGGTGCCCGCGGTGTTCTCCACCAGGATGCCGAAGAAGCGCTCCAGCGAACCGAAGATTGCGCGGTGGAGCATGACGGGCTGCTTCCTTTCCCCCGAGCTAGACGCCACGACACACAGGCAGACAGACACACAGACCGACAGACAGGCAGACAGACAGAGAAAGGCAGACAGAGACAGACAGCGGATAGCACCGCGTTCGAGGTCAGCAGTGCATACATCAACAACAATCGTGATGATCGAGGTGGAACGGCTTGTATGCTGAATTTCTTACCTCCCACGTTGGAAAGTGGTGGAGGGTACTGCATATGTATTCAAACACGCCCGTCGTCGGTTCATCAACCAACCACCGACCCCAACCCACTCCACCATTCAATTGTTGTTGTTGTTGTTGTTGTTGTTGTTGTTGTTGTCTTCACATTAAAAACCGTTCCGGTCTCCGCTCAGTACGCTCAGTACCTTTAATGCAGTGAAAAAGATAAATCGATTCGTATGATATTGGTATAGTTTTAGTCTACTTTACCTGTCGATGTACTCCAGCTTAAACCGGTCGGGGAGGTTGAAATCCGCCTGCACCGTAGAGCACTGCCACGTGCGGCCAATAGCGTCTCGGATCTTGAGATCGATCTTAGGGCCGTAGAACGCACCCCCTCCCTCATCCACCTGAAAAAAACGGGCGCAAGGTTTACTGGCTGTGCTGTGGCTGGGGGGGTCCCTGAAGAATAAGGAGGTCTAACTAGCCGGTCGCCCTCCGAAAGGCGGGTGAAATATTGGCTGGCATAGACGGAATAATCACAGTTGTTCTTCACATCGAAAAAAGGCGGCTGCCCCATATATACAAGTCACCCGCACCACCGTCGCCATATTCGTGGACTCCCGCTGCTATACTTCAATCTTGTTGGGAACTACTGCTGTTCCCTTGGAAACGATCATCATCGGTGGAAAGGCCACGTCCTCTCCCACACACCAAGCAGATATCAGATGATGACAATGATTTGGCCCGACTTGACAACAAGCGAATCGCCACGTACTACTGTTGGACGACAAGTGGGGGCGAACGGACAGACGTGCCATCGGTCTGCCGATTTTCTTACAAGCTCGTCGATTTGTCCAAAACCAAGAGGCCGCCAATGCCGAGAAGGTGGTTTTGGAAAGATGGAACGACGGCCACTCTACGTCGTCATTGACAACTAACAGGGCTGCGTGCTTGCAAATTGGCAACCGGCCTCTGGACTCATGTGCCCCTCATCCGCCGGCAAACAGAATACACCAACCAACCGAAACTCCCAACCGGTCGGGCTAGAGAAAAAACGTTGTACTCTACGCGCTACCTTTTGTGACAGCTGAATCAACGCCAACAACCGTTTACATATCCTATGAAAAACGATCGATTGCATGTCCACTGGGCAACCAAGTCGTCTAACCACCAACTACACGTGTCTCATCTCGACAACCTTCAGCTGAAGAAGCGCAAGTCGCCTCCTGTTATTTACATGTTACAACTAAGGTCTGAGGAATTCACTTCTAAGTCTCCGTTATCGCACCGAATAATCCCAGCCCTTGCGCTCAAGCGCTGCCTTCAGCCCCTCCGTTGCAAGGTCCCAGATCTCATCCGTGCCCACCGACTTCTCCGGCCGGGTGGAAAGCATGATCTGGTACCTGTTCCGAGATGATCCGGGGAATTTATTCTATGGGCGTGTTTGGTTTGTGATAGTTGAAAGCAAGGAACAAAATGGGTCATCTGAAAGATAAAGAACGAAAAAACAATCGACACACGAAAAGCATGCATCCGTCGGAGGTGCGCCGCGGGGGGGCGCGGGGGGGGTGCACTCATAGTCGNGGGTTCTCACCGGACCAGGCTCTCACATCACCAAGCGCGAAGCGCCGTGAGATATTCGGCGAGTCGCATGAAGGGTGCGCTGCATCCTGCTCAAGGGTATTCGGCATGTTGTGCTTACTCCTTGCGTACGGATGACAGCTGCGTATGAA